TTGGAAGAATGTGTTTTGGAATAGTAGATTGATGGAGAATGTGTGGTTGAAAAAGAAGGAAAAGTTATTGATGTGATTGAAAATATTATTTTATTGAAGAATGTGTGGTTGAAAATGAGTAAAAGAATGAAAATTTTAATTTTTACCAGGGGCTCAATATCATTTCTTTATTCTATTACATCTAAAATGATTCAGACAAATGACTGTAGCCATGAACACTTGTTACTGTCCATTGCCAATTTTGCCCTTTTACCATTCCAGCCATTACATTTCCCGCCTGCCACTTTCCTTTCTTCTCCAACTTCAACCGATTTCAATGAACACAATTGTTTGAATATTGGGAATGGACCAACATCTTTGCACAACGTCACACCTTCACCTTCTTTTTCAACCCCCAAGTTGTTACAAGCGAGAAATTGGAGTTAACTTGCAGAATCCCTGTCGCGGCCTAGTGTTGGATTTCAGACAGAGACAGCTCCAGAGTTAATCCTTTCTGAATCCCCGTCGTGAGCTCTTTGTGCTCCCCGGTTCCTTCACTCTTTCACACCATGGATCCATACAACAATTCGGTACACTGCCCCTTTATTACAACTGAATTTAATTTCGCGTTGGTCGTGGCACACATCTATTCATCACATTGATGTAAACGCACAAATTGTAAAGATCCTTTCATGTGGCATGCACCTCCACTTCGAATGCTCGTAAAAATGCCAAATGGGACGATAAGGAACATAATAGTTATAATGGCATGAGAAACAACAATTGTCGAAGGTCACCATCAAGGAAAGTGTTTCATGAAACACGGGTGGGAAAGAGTAATTTTTTTGTTCAACACGACCGCCTGTCATAATTAGAACAAAACGTAGCTGACAAACCATTGGGATGGCGTGAGGCGAGAACATAAACGCTTGCAGGAATTGCTTCGATGCACCAGGGTTGAGTACAACAGGACAAGCAATAGAATTGTTGCGATGAGGAATGGTGGAGCAGAAAAATAAAGGTACCGTTCTTAAAACACATTCCTTCTCTGTTGCACTTTCTTTGCTTTCCATGGTGGATAGGATTTTTTTATGATTCCTCGTAATGCATCTATATATTTCCCACACACTCTTTGCAACCATAGCTTGTCTGTACATCGATCACTATCTGGAAGAGGTGTTTGTGAAACCACTCATGAGTTTAGAAATCTGGATGGAACTTTGTTGATGTATGCACCAGTGCAATTAAAACATTCATTTGTATAATTCCAGCTCATTGCCAATTAGTTATGAAACGATTGTATATGTGGCCCTTTAGCCTGGATTTCTTAAACCACTCTCTTCTGTTTCTTCCTCTACCCCATCTAACACAGAGAGTTATAGCAATTAAATGAGAATTCCAAAGGCTAAGCATTGATCCTAAGTCTATAGTCCAAATGAGTTTAGAAGAATTGAATGAATTTTGATCATGCCCAACCCTTTGGATGCCCCCTTGGGGAGCTTCTAAAGTTTGAGATCTGCTATGACTGTGAATTTATCGTGCACTGTAAATGTTTGTTGCGTTATTCTTAAATATGGGATGCACAGATTGGAGCTATATATCATTTCTGTGACATTTTAGATGTCTCTGTGCGTGTTTATACACTTACCTTTTTTTATCGTATATGGAAATTAAATGGAAAAGTCTACATGTACATAATAGTGTTCATAATGTGATGTGGACAAAATCCTGTTGTTGATGTGAAAGTGTGAGATTTGAATTAATAATTGGATTCAGTGCCACGTGTAATTATGGACACCATTATGTATACATTTATGTACATGTAGCACTTTTCATATATAGATTTATTTAATTTTATGATATTATTATTAATAATAAAATGTGAAATTATCACCTGATTT